GCTAAGACTTCGTCGGCTTATCTCTAGCGATCTAGAGACTCGATTAATGATCGCAGTATACTGTTAGATTCCCAAAAAATTAGTTTTCCATTCGTATATTATTCATGAAAATTCGACAGTGGGATTTTCGATAACACTCGATTAAACTTTGAGGTGTATTTTGGTAGAGAAAAATTAAAACCTAACAACTATTTTGACGAACTTCGAGGTATTGTAGGATTAAACAATGATATTGTTAGATATGCTTAGTCGAGAACTTCAAAACGGTATATAATTTGTCGAAATCCACCACCAAAGGCGGAGGCGGCAACCGTTGAGTTTGGACCAAAAGCGATGAATTTAAAAAACTTAAGTGACAAAATAAATTATATTGGAACCTCTACCAAAAGAGAAAATGTGGTATATTGGTACCAAAACAAATTTTCCCTTTCTAAGTTCCATCTTGAACATCTTGAACATAGACTCTCGCTAGGAAAAAAAAGATAGGACGATCCTTCTCTTCTCTCTCTTCTAAAAGCTGACAGGAAGGATAAATTTTCAGATATGAAGCGACCCTCTTCTCTAACCAGCCCCCTTCCACGAGCCGCATTCGGTGTAACCATGCTCCATGCCATCTCCACTGCGTCTCTCGTTCTCATTGTTCGATTCTCGGGCCGAAAGGAGAGTGCTATTTGGTTTCGTGTCTCTTCCTTTCATCGGAGAGGTCTATCAGAGTTGTCGAGTTGGGTTAGAGGAGGCAACGGACATCCAGGGGCTGCACTCGAAGATCTTGTAGTGTCATTGATTATCTTTGGAGTTTTCAGATCTTGGTGTCTTGTTTAGGTTCGGATCTAGGCTCTCTGATATAGTCTTTCAATTGCATTTGATATTCTACAATAGTCTCGGAGCATTTTCAATGATCCATGATTGTTCTAATTCATTGCTATGTGGCCCAATAAATCTTATGTCGCAATATAAACTAAAAAAGAACAATTAAATGTCCAGGCATTGTGCTGTGATTGACTGATTGTCTCTGATTTATCTATATA